TGCTGAGTGTAATAAAGGTTCATATTCCTTGGTCTGTGGATATTTACTGAGAAGAAGGAGGAAGAGAAAGGTCAGATTCAGATTTTTTGATGGGAACTTGGCTGAACTCTTTACACTGAAAAGATTTTATTTATAGTTCAGTCTGTATGCTGAGGACTGTTTTTGGTAGAAACCTTGTACTATGTAGGAGGCAATATATGATGCGATGTACAGTAGGCAATAATTTGCTGAAGCAACTCATGTAACTTCAGTGTGCTGTGCCGGTGTGTCTCATTTCTGACACGTTGATATGAAAAAGTAAAAATTGTGCTCTGATTCACTTCTTTTTGCATAACTGTGTCTCTGCACCTACAAGTTTTTCAGTTATTCATGTGTCACCTTAACTCCAGTGCAGTTCAGACTTCTGAACTTGCAGTGGGAATAGTACACGGCAGTTAAAAATTCATCTCTAGCTTAATGCAGAACCGCAGAGTTAATTTAGTACCTTACTGTGAAAGAAATTCATGTGGTAAGCCTAGACCAAATGCAGTTTCACACATTTTTGAGATGAAAGGATTAAGTAGTATGGTAGAATTTTGCTTCACTCCTCCTACCCAAAGATGAAATTCTTTGGAGCTGTTGTTTGATGCTGTTAGTTCCACTGCAGCACAGTGCTGTTGAGATGATGCTGTTAGCTACTGGTAAACCTTCAGAAGAATGAAGTCTTTCTACTTGTTGAATTAGAGTGTATATTTTTGGTGGGTTAGATTGTGTCCAGGAATGTCATAGGAGCATTTAATCTAAACCAAAGTTTATGCATTCTTGTCTCTTAACTATTTCTAAAGAAGTTGCATACGAAGCCCCAGTTTGGGGCTAGGTCTGCAGAGCCAGCAGGCAGAAGAAGAGATGTAGGACTGAGACAGACCAATTCCTTAAATTCCCATTTAAAAATTAGTCTTTTGGGTATTCTTACAGTTTGCATGGACTTTGAAATGCTAAGACAGAAAGAGCCTCAATTTTTGATGGACTCTGATGGACTCACAGACTTAGAATGTGTGGTGGTATCAAATCTGGCCAGTGCCTTCTATTTTCTTTAGGTGATAGTTGCACCTTTAAGCAGTAATAAACATTCTAGTTGGGGTGAAGCATACTAGAGACCAATTTATTGGTAAATAGTGCAGAACCTGCAATATTTGGCTTATGTCGACCATGACTAGTACCCTCTCTCCATATGGGTGTCTATATGTTTCTCTGTCTGCATGTATATGTAAAGTAATTGGCACTTTAAAGTTAGGCTGAGGAAATAAAAAGATGTAGAAACCCAGCTTTCTGGGGGATTTTGCAGAGCCTCCACAGTTCTGAGGTGGCCTCAGCCACCTCAGCTGTCATCAATGTCTTGTGTAGCAGCTTGTCATCCGAGTTCCTTGCTTTAAATTGGGATTTGGATTTGAGTTAGGTCATTTAAATCTGCAAGAGCCAAATATTGTAAAGCACGGTGCAGTTCTTGGATTTGGTTGGAAAAGGACCAAAGCTTTTGGCTTTTTTCTCCAGATTGGGTTGAGGTTTGAAATAAAGGACTTGGAGAGCAGGATTGAGGCGAGGGCTGTTTGGGTTATTTTTGTTTGTTCGATGGGTACTACAGAAGCCCCAGAGTTAGGAACATGGCTGATATCAGTGTTAGTTCTTGCCTTATGATCTCATTTAGTGCAGAGGTAATCAGTCTCAAGGTTAAGGTTTAGGTTACTTTGATGTCTCTGATTAGGGTCTGACCATCTAAAACTGTGCGTGAAATTTACTGCCAGGTCCTGCAATCAGAAGAGCCAGGAGGAAGCTCATGTAGAAAGTGCTGTGTTACAGCAGCATTTTTCTTCATGGTGGTAGCCTTCTTGGTTTAGACTTTTTTTGCCTCAAGCCACTGTGGATAAACAAGTATAATTTTGGAATCTGGAATTGTGACCTGTGTAATTGTAAAGAAAAGAATAATTGCTAGGACTTAGCCAAGTTGTGAGAGACTCTAGAAATTAAGAGGTTCCTTATTTGTCATGTTCTGTCCAAATTACAAGTATTTTTCTTGATATTTTGGTATTCAACAGAAATATACCAAGGATTTTGTGCTAGTGGCAGGTGCTGACAAAAATTGGTATCCTACTGAGAATGCTTTGAATCTAAGGTTGCAGTTAGAAAGAAACAGTAAATTGATCACCTCCACTCGCTCTGATTCACATAAATTAAAGATAATAAATACTTCCTCCCAAAGCAGACTTGTGCTCTGACAGTAGAGCACATAGGGCAAAACCTCTGTTAGCTGTTGCAAATATAGTCATAGAATGGTTTGGGTTGGAAGGGACCTTAAAGCTCATCTAGTTCCAACCCTCCTGCCATGGGCAGGGATACCTTCCGCTAGACCAGGTTGCTCAAAGCCCCATCCCAACCTTCCAGGAGTGGGGCATCCACAACTTCTCTGGGCAGCGTGTTCCAGTGCCTCTTCTCCCTCACAGTAAAAAGTTTTTTCCTCATGTCTAAATCTACCCTCTTCTAGTTTAAAGCTATTACCCTTTGTCCTATCATGTAATGTTGGATGGTGCTATATGTGTTTGCTGTTGCAGAACATGAACTTTGTTAGCCAGCTTTAGCCAGAAGAAATAAGTATTATGCTTTTCAGGAGGGTCAAAATATCACTTGATTTTATACCACCACAGCATCTAATTGTGTCTGTCAGATACTGTTCCTTTGCTCATCTTGAAAAAACCAGTAAAAATAGATGAAATTTCATCAGAATAATTCCACTCAATGACTGGATGAGAAACAGTGGTCTCAGGAAGTTAAAAATCCCTTGTTTTTCTTTTACCTACCCTTTTTTCTTTCTAAAAGTAGTATGCAAGGATCTATACTACCTAAGTGTGTGCTAAGAACTAGCTAAAACATAGCCAAATGTATTGAGAACACATTTGTTTGACACTAGTGTATTAATGCTTTTTAAATGCGACTCTTTGTTTCCAGGCCTTTTTGCAAATGTGCAATCTGCCAATCCGGGTGGTTTGCAGGGCAAATGCCGAGTACATGTCCCCATCTGGTAAGTGTGGCCTTCATTTAGATTACTACATTATACCACCATTTAGATACCATGGCAACTATGCCTTGTCTTGATGATAACAGTTGGTCAGTGCTACGGTGTGTGGGTTGCCTTCCCCCCTCCTCTCCAGTGCAGTTTCTCCTCTGCAAACAATTAAAACAGTCAAATGCAAAGTAGCGCTGGCACAATGTGTAACCGCGCTTGTGGATGCGGTACCTATATAGAATGCTCAGACAGTGCAAATGCCTGGTGGAAACCTCTCAAATGCCTGAGAGTGGTTGAATTCTGAAGCAGAAAGACACATGTTTCCAAAAGTGGCTTTATTCTGCATTCAGGGAATATTCCAGTAAATGCTGTTATGTTTTCCCATTGCTGGGGTGAGACAACACTACAGAAAGATGATACTTTTCTACCCTCTCTGGGAGATGATTGCCAGGATGTTGATACAGGAGAACAGGTAAAGGGTGCATAAGGGTGATAGGCAATTTTAAATCACCCTCTGATCCCTGAAACTCTGGAAGAAATCCAAACCCACCAACAAGAAATTATTAGAAAGGTGGAGAGTGACTGGTTGCCTAAAAACATCAGAGGCTGGCTTCAGAAGGTTGCCTGAAAATCAGAGACAGTTGCTGAATGCAGGGCAAAGTCTGTCAATCCTTGCCCTCTGTCCTGGATTTTTGTTGTGTGAGAGAGGTATTTATTTACCTGGTACCTGGCCTTGGCTGATGACTGTCACGTGGAAGTGCCTATCAGTATGTGTCTTCCAGCTGCATGGGTTCTGTTGCTGCTGCTGCTGTTTTGGTCAAAGCAGTGGAATTATTATTCTAAATAAAATAAACTTATAAAGTGCTATTTATAAAAAACCCAAGTTGCTTGGCAGCAGTGAAAAACTGGCAAAATATGGAGGTATGTAAATTATTTGTTAGTAAATAAAGGTAGCTTTGAAATGCTGAATCCATGCACAGAGGAGCGTCTTGTGTGCACAGAGGAGTGTCTTGCATGTGCAGAAGGACTGGTGACAGTTACATGCTCTTGTTTCTCTGCCACTTGCACTCTTGTCGACACTTGCTGGTATCTGATGTAATTTGGGTCTGAACACTTCCTTCGTCTGCTGAAAACAAGGAGCACAAGAGGGAAAATGATGCTGCTTCAAGTTTAAATGTAGGTAGAAATGTGTTCTTTTTGCCCTTATTCCCTCAGTCATTATTTGTATTCACTTGCCCCGTTTCCTTTCTTTATATTGGTCTTTTAATGATAATTCAGACAAGGTTTTAATCTGTTCCCTTCTCCCTCTCCACTACCCTACCTCACAGCAGAAGCAGGCAAAGATCTGCATCTCATCGTTTTGGGGGAAGGTTATTTATCTCACAGTCATTGTAATGACAAAACCCATTCTGAGGGATTCAAGAGTATAATACCAAGGATTGTCTTGGTGTGTGAAGCACAATCTGATTTAAAACACTGAATTCTGCAGAGGTCTGTGTTTCATTCCCCAACATGCATCGTGTGGATGCAGATGAAGCCTTTGTTGGTGTGATGCACTTCATTTATTGCCCTTAGGCTGATTGAGCCAGTGAGAAGTGAATCTCATGGTTAAGACCATGACTGAATCTGCTATTAGCATGAACAGTGTTTGAGCTAGGCCGAACAGTAAGTTGTGTTTCTGTCAAGAGTGAATGTATTGCTAATAACATATTGCGAGTCAGGCAGGTGCTGATCTTGGTCTTGGGCTGTCTGTTGAGAGCAGAGTTTGCCCACAGTGAGAGGTGGGAAGGTAAAAGGCTGCTGTGCCCCACAGCACTGTGTGCTCATTTACTGCCTTTGGGCTTGAGGATGTTTTCAGTAATACAAAACATCCAGCATTTTATGGATTATTTCAATCACATAAATAAACCTAAAAGATTTAGTCTTAAATATAAGGTTGATGTTTATCAGTTGCACTTGGATGAAGATTTGCAGGACAGGCAACCTGGTTAGGGTGGATTGGAGCAGGAGCCCTCAGCTTCACACCCTGAGAACTGGGAAAAGGGGTATGAGGCAACTTCTGTCATGCTTCCGGGCTTGCTGTGTGTAACAGGGCTCTCTCTTGTATCTCTGCTTGCCTTAAAGCTTTAGCTCAGTTCTGTATGTAGGGAAGGTTACCAGGCAGTGAAGGTGGTGTGTGCAGACTTGGGAGCCCTTTGCACTCTGCCTGACAAGTTCCATCAGTGACACAATCATTTCCCAGTCTCCTTTTGAGGATTGGCCACTTTAGCCCTGCTCCATGTTGGACCCTGAGGGCTCAGCTTCATAGTCTGAATGTTGAGCCTTACTAGGATTAAGTTTAACCCCATTTTGCTTCCATGATGATGAAGCAGCTCCTTCCCCCTCCCAGCTCCCCATATTGTGAAGCTGTGGGTCTCATACTGAGAACCTCTTCCTGGCCCCAGGACCATAGGGCTCGAAAATGCCAGCTCGCAATTGGAGAGTGAAGACTAGGGCAGCCAGTAGGAGCCAGCTGGCCCAGTTGTTGGAAATCTGAAGGACTGGAGGAGGGAGAGTCAAGACCCTGCCTTGCTGAGTGTGCATTTGCGCTTCCCCCTGCTTGCATTCCTGGGCACAGTGCCATATCTCCCGTCATCCTTTCAGCAGCCTTTTCCCCTCCAGTGGGTTAGAAGGGAGGGTGGGAACATGTGTCGTAAAACTAGCCAAAGGCTCTGTCTGCTTTCCTGGGATTTCCCAGCTGTACTTCAGAGAAACATTGAATTAAGTCTTTCCAGCAAAGCAAAATCCATTATTAAAATACAAGTCGATAGATCTCACTCAATAACTTTGAAATACACAACTGCAAGTATTGCGTGTAGAAGAGGCTTAGAGGAGGATGTTTGTTATTACAAATGTTCTCTGGATGAGCTATGTATGTTAGAGCTTTGCTTGTGCTCATTTGAAAGAAACAAAACCCTGCTGATGTTCAGGGGTACCTGCAATATTTAATTGCTTTGAAAATTGTAAATGATGTTTTACAGGTATAAAAGGCTCTTACTAAAATACATTTCTCATTTTACAGGCAAAGTACCCTTTATTCATGTGGGAAATCAAGTAGTATCTGAACTTGGGCCCATAGTCCAGTTTGTAAAAGCCAAGGTAATATTACATGGTTTTTGTCAATTAGTGAATAGCATGTTAATCCTATTTAGCATTGTGCTGATTTGGTGGTCTCTTCTGTAATGTTACTTAAAAGAAAGATATACTGGAACAGGAGTTTGTTGACGTGGAAATGTTTTTCTTTGTCATTTACTCAAATTCTGGAAGTAAATTCTATGCAGCATAGCTGCATACCAGTTCTAGTCTCTGGGACTCTTCTGTCCCTGGGTCTTGGAGCTCTTAAACCCAGAACTGGCTGGTTTAAATCCTGAAGTATCAGATACTGTCCAAATTTGCCTTTGCTTCCCCCTGCTAACCCTCCCCTATATTTTAAAAACTACTCTTATCTTCACTGAGCAGTTGGGAAAGCCGTATCACAGATGTAAGTTTGTGTTTACTTCTTGCCGCAGATGCACCCTAACCAGGAGGCTGTGTGCTCAAACTGTTTTCATCTACAACTGACGATAGGCTGTATTTCTTGCAGATTAGCTATGTTATGATAATTTCTTTTTAATTCTTAAGGATACTGTATGTAAAAATAGCATATGTAATTTGTTACTGAACTATGTAAGAGATCAGGATCTGAGCCAAAGCTCATTGACTTCAGAGGTCCTTGGGTCAGGCATTGCTAAATATTCCTATATCCTTTCTTCCGTGTGTCTTTTTTTTTTCCTCTTTTCCCCATTAGGGCCATTCTCTCAGTGATGGGTTGGATGAAGTCCAAAAAGCCGAGATGAAAGCCTACATGGAATTAGTCAATAATATGCTCTTGACAGCAGAGGTACAGCAAACCATAGGAACTCCACAGGCTTACATAAGTAACTGTAGGCAAGAAAGCTTTAGGATCTTTCCCTATATTGGAAATACTGCTTGTTCTTAGATTAGGTTGTTAACTTTTGAGGTGAAAAGAGGCAGGAATAAATTCTCTTTGCCCTATGGATTGCTTGCTGAATGAAATGTTCCTGTAGACACAAGCCAAGTGTATGATCCCCTCACCCAACTGAAGTGTGTCATGTAGCAGAAGTAATCAGCTGGAAAATGTCAGTGGTCCCTGGGAACCCACCCAACCCACAGCTGGCCAGGCATCCTGCTATCACCTTCCACAGTGTACATGCTCACATGCCTGGTGGGAAGCTGGTTTCGTGTCCATGGCCAATTAACATGATGCAGTCCCAGCATGGGAACAGTGTTAGAAATGCTGGGAACCTGCAGGTGGCTGAGGAGCTGGTAACCTGTACGCTGAGTTGCGTGCAGCTTGGATAGTGGGAATGGGCCTATGGTTCCAGTTTGGATCTGGTACTGGTAAAGTAAGGACTAAGAACTGGGCTTTTCTCTTCAAGTTTTAATTTCTTTTCTACATTCAGAGGTCTAACTAAGAGTGAAATGGAAATTTAATATAGAAAAGAAAATTCTAGTCATGAGAAATGATTGTTTCTGTATTCTCCGTTATTAAGAAGTCATAGTAAGTGTTCTTTCCGTTCCTAGCTCTATCTCCAGTGGTGTGATGATGTTACAGTAGAGGAGGTGAGTGGTTCTGCAGCATTTATCATAATTAAAATTTAATGAGAAAACACTTTTGCTCACAATTGCAAGTCCCTACTCATAAATGAAACATTGAGGTTTATACCAGTAATGATACAGTCTTTTCACTTTAATTTCGCTTGCATATACATTTTAGGGAAGTTGTGTCATTACTGGAGGTAGCCAACTGCATAATAGATAGGGGTTTTGTATACATTTCTGAAGTAATAGTTTTAAAGGGTTGTGTTCTAAATTCTGTGCAAATAATTACAGCATATCACACAGCTCCCTCTCTGATGGAAATATTTGAACATTAGCTATTTTGTACTTAGAGATATCTGTATTTTCTCGTATGATAACACAGTACCTCTCTGTTTCTAAATGAAGATTACTCACCCGAGGTATGGCTCCCCTTACCCGTGGCCTCTTAACCGCATTTTGTCGTATCAGAAGCAATGGGAGGTAAGGCGAAAGATGAAAGCCATTGGATGGGCTGGGAAGACGCTTCAACAGGTCAGTATGAAAAGTGAAGCTTATTTCTTTACTATGTTTTCTTTTTTCTTTCTTTCTTTGCCTTTTTTTTTTTTTAAAGGCTTTGGAGAGTAGCACTTTCTTGAAACAGGTGTAAAAATATATTCTGTACTTAAAACATTATCTGGAATCAGGTATTTGCCTTTAGCAGCAATAAATCTTAAATTATGTGCAACCCAGTGGGGTGGGAAGAAGGATGTTTTACCACAAGCGTACATCTCTGGTGATGTTACTTTTTTAGGCCATAGTTTGGAAATAGGTTGTAAGTTACAGCCCCCACTTCCTGTATGATATTAATAGGCACACTTTGAAGGACTGCAGCTTCCCTTGTTAGAGGTCTAAAAAAAAAAACCCTCCACAAAGCAGTTTTGAGGTGTAAGTTAGTACCTTTCATTAATGTATGTTGTAAATGTTATGGGAAGCACTTAATCAGAATTGCCTTACATCGAATGTTAGATTAAGTAACACTTAGCTCCCTGCCTACTGTATGAGTTTGACTGACTTTAACAGCTTTTGATGTTACAACATTGTCTGTTCCTTGTTCCCACCATCAGTGCAAATAGAATAAGGAGGTTATTTTTGCAGTGTTGGTATTTCCTGACAATACAGATCTTTTCTCTTTTGTGTTTTGATAGGTGCTTGAAGATGTAGATCAGTGTTGTCAGGCTCTCTCCCAGCGACTAGGAACACAACCGTATTTCTTCAATAAGCAGTAAGTTACTATTTACTGAAACATTGCATCCAGGAATGTTTCTATTATATATATAAAAA